AGTGAGTGTTTTTCACTTCCATTTTATTCCTTTTATATTAGTTAGATGATAGAAACTAATTTTGTGTTAATCGGACTTTTATAGCAAAAGTTAGAAAATTTCAATTTTTACATATACATATAAGAGTATAAAATTAACATCTCCTTAGTATTAATTATGTTTAGGCATGATTAATTGATTAGGTTGATCGTTTCGAAGATTGGATTATTTGAGTTTTTCTAAAGAATCAGAAAAGAAAAAATTCATCCATACCTTCATCAAAGAACATCCGTAAGGTAAGGGGTGGGATGATTTTATTTCAATAGGTGGCATTAAGAACCATAAGGGAATAATTCTCTATTGTTCTAATCAAATAAAATGAATTTGGGTTGTTTTAGAGCTAACCCATAATTTTTAGAAGATTTTGTTATAGTACTGGACATGTATGAAAGGTTGCCTTAGACCAGGAAATTGATTGAACAAGGACTCTCCCTTATATGTAAGGTCCTTTGTGTATTTAAATTAATGTATTGGAATGATTTATGGTTGAAGTGCTGTATTGAATTATTTCTTTATAATTGGTTGAATTCTCATTATGTGTTTGTGTAGATATTCTTGTTGGTATGAATGCCATATAATGGTAAAGATTGGAAGTAATTTAGTTTTATGTGATGTGAGCATATAGATTGACATAATCCAAATGTCCATTCAGACTTGTTGGAGAGAAGAAAATATGTTTTTAAGGTATATATATATATATATATATATATATATAATTATGTATTTTATATATAGTACAAGTATCTTTTGGCTTCTTTGGAAAATGGATTTAATAAAAATAAATAAATAAATTATATTACTGAGAAAGTAGTATTAGATATTTTGAAGGCTTGAATCATTTTTTTTTAAAATGATTAAGTCCTCAATTTTTTAAGCATGAAAACATATTTAAAGAAAGAGGGGAAGATACGATTTTCTTGGATTTTGAGGTGATGGAGGTGGAATTTAATGAATTAGAAGTATTCTGGATTTTTTTCTGGTTGTTTTACAGGAAGAAGAAAATTTTGGAATATCTGATTTACAGAGGAGACTCTGTCGAATTTCATTGAAAAAAGAAAAAGTTAAGGATTGTACTTAACAAAAAAGAAAAATTAAATTTTTTCTCTAATTAAATTAATTAGGAATGAAGACATGCATCATGAACATGTGATAGTGTGATGAGTGGACAGGGAAGTATAAGAAATCTAGGGGCGGCTCCAGGGTAGTCTTGGGGATAGTGACGTGTGATTGAATCTGACAGTGGCTAAGGCTCGCCACCTTGTGCTGTGGACTCTCACTGCAAAACTTTACTATCCTGACTGGTCCTGAGAGATTCTTGTATTAGTAGAGCTGTTACTGTATTATGAGATTAACAAAGTTGGCAGTTAAGTAACAGTGAAACTCCTGATCCTTCCCTGAGTAAAAGAAACAGATTGATGGTTCTGGGCCCACATGCATGTGTCAAAATATACTAAGTTATAATAATAGACTTGCATCATTTCTCATTCATGGCATATGCATTTGCTTGGTAGATTATGGGTGTTGATAATTAATTGTGTGATTGAAACCCTTATATGTCTTTTGCTGCTGGAGATTGAATCGAATTGTCTCACCCTTTTATTGCTATGTGTGTTGTGTGTGAATATGTTTATTAGGTAAGAACATTGATGGCTCGACCACCGTACCAATTCAGCGTCTCGATCAGATATAATCCCGAGGGAAGATGGGTGCACGACTGGGAGCAACAACGATTCACCCACACTGGATCTATTACCTTTTTGTTAGATAGAAATGGGCCAGGCCCACGAGCTTACCCTATCCCCATCCGAGTACCCATGAGACTTACTTTTCCATTTCCTCCAGATGTACAGTTTGTGCGACCCCCTACCCCACCTCCTGTCCCTGTATTATCACCCCCGGTATTACCCCCAGGTTTTCTTAGACCTTTACGTCCTTCTATACCATATTTACCACCTGTTGAACGGACTAGTTTAGTTGACACACTTTTAGCAAGACCTATCTCTATCTCATCCACTTCCTCTTTGTCTTCCTCTAGTTCTTCAGACTCTCCTGATTCTTCTCACTGTTCAAACACTTCTACTGCTATCGGAAGGAAGAGGACTGCTTCTCAAGCAGGACTCTTTCCTAATTTTACCTCCTCTGAGTAGGAATCTAGTGGAAAGGAGAGTAGGATAGAGTTGAGTAAGGAATAATCTATACATATACGTAGGTGTAAGTACTTTTGACTGAAAAGAAAAATGGGTATATAGGAAGCCTAACCTTACCGTTGTTGAATTTTGGGAGGAAATGGGCACTTTGGTGATCATGGATCCAGGGGAAAGCTCGTGAGGTCTTCGTTTTGGGTTGTCATCTCTGATATTGTGACCCTACTTTATTTCGTATGTAATTCAGTTATGTATATATTTAGATAACTGGATGATTGTATAAATTAACAGATGACGTGTATGTATGAAATGAAGACTTCTAGTAATGGTAATGTATTTAATTTCACTATATCTGAATAAATATATATATACCCATGCATGTGATGTTCTTACTGCTTAGTTATTTTATAATTGTATTTATATTTATTGCTTAGTAAGTAGTAAGGGTGTCACAGTAGGCCCTAACAAAGATTAACTCCAAGAATTGAAGGCACAATTGACTAGAGAGTTTCATTGAGAAGTGAAAGAAAGGAAAATTTGACTTACTCAAAAGAACTATTTAAGGAAAGTCTTATGACACTTAACATTCAAGACTATAACCAAATATCTGCCTCATTTCTTATCAATTATAAATTATCCTCAAGTATGTTTCCTAGCGATGAAGTGGAGAGGATGAAAATGTATTGAGTACTGTACACATTAGTAATAGGAAGCCTAATGTATGCAATGATCTATACTAGGCCAGATATTGTACAAGCAGTCAGGAATGTTAGTCATTTTGTGATAGATCTTGACAATGAGAATTGAAATGTTGTTAAGAGGATTTTGAGATACATTGAAGGAACTTCAGATGCTGCATTATGTTTTGGAGGATCAGAGTTCATTTTTAGAGGATATGTTGATTCAAAATTTATAGGTGATCTTGATCAAAGAAAATCTACTATAAGTTATATGTTCATAGTTGTAGGAGGAGCAATTAATTGGTTATCTAAATTACAAACTATTGTAGCTTTGTCTACTGCAAAAGATAAATACATAGTAGCTATGCAAGCATGTAATGAGGCAATTTAGATTTAAAAATTGTTGGAAGAACTCAGGCACAAACAAAAGAAGGTTCTTATTTATTGTGATAGTCAAAGTACCTTGTACATAATTGTCAAGTATCATTTTGTTCGAGAACTAGTAGAAGAAGAAAGTGTAGACATGTAGAAGATCATGGAATTAGAAAGCAGAGAAGGTTTTGAAAGACACACAAAAGTGTCTTTAAGTAGGAGATTGTTACAGCCATAAGTAAAGTCACTTTTGTGGCTTGATAAATGCTTTTTATGCTTGATCCTCGAATGCAGTTCATGAATAATGATTGAGATTTTGAACTAATCATAGAGGGAATTTGTTGTTAATTTGATTGCTATTTATGTTTCAAGAAGAATGAACAAGAAATGAGAGTTTTTAAAAGGATAATAGATAAAAAGGAAAGCAATGTCAACTTCCTTTGAAGATTTACAAAATCAACAAGATACATTGCTAGATTCATGACCATGTATCTGCATGTGTACTTTTCAGGCTGAATGAATTGTTATGAGCGTGAAAGCAGAGATCTACATAGGCAAATACATGCTCATAAATCTACTCATTTACTTCTCGAATCACGTAATATAAGCAAAATTTTTGAAGCAAAGATATACGCGTTCATATTCATGACTGTGCTTCCAAGTGTGTAGTCTAATGGGAAGTTTAAAGGGCTGAATTATTAAGGAACCAGATGGGATACATGGTCAAGTACATGATCCTGTATTTGTGAGCGTAAAATGATGCGCGTCAGATTTAAGCATCTGTGAGATAGTGAACAATTGGGCTACTTTATGAGTTTGATTGGGTGCCTAATGTACCTTACAACAACAAGACCAGACATCTTGACTGCTGTAAGTATTTTATCTCGGTTCATGCAATGTGCAAGTAAAACACACTTGAAAAATCATTTAATCTCCGCATATCTGTGTTTGCTCTCTTGCTTTGCACAAACCTGTTAAAACAGAGTTTTACTCTCCTTTATATTATCTCTGACCTTCTAGTAAAAAACTTCCCATAACCAACACGTTTGAGCTTGTACATGCTTTATGTCCTCTGATCTCCTTGAAAAGGACTTTCTACCTAACTTACACACACAAAAAAGAAAAGAAAAGAAAAGAAAAACAGAGAAAGTGAAACTTTTAAATGGATGAGTTAAAATACGTCATGTAAGTCTTCTGTCCATCTTTATAGCAGACCATAGGGCATGGTCCAATTTTTCTGCTCAAACTTGAAAATAAGAAAATAAACTAGATTAACAACTCAATCAAAATCCTCGCAAGAAATATTACTTTTATTGTCTGAAGTGTAATATATACCATTCATTCTTTTATCTGCCAGCAAGAGAGGGAAAGTAAAGAGAATAAAATAAAATAGTGACTGCAATATCTAGGCCAAATCTGCTCTGAATGTTTCAATATATTTGTGAATATATAAAGTTGAAAATTATATAAGGAAAAATTCTTGAAAACAGCAAGGCGAAAACTAGCGCAACCAGAGATGTTAGGTTGTACATATATAGAATTGTGAACGTGTTTTAATGTTATCCTAGCAAAATACATAGCTAAATTTAAGAGTGCAGAAAGTGTGGAGTAGAAAGTTATAAATGAAAGCATTTTAGTATATATGGACGTTGTCTATCATCATAATTTTTGTGATACATTTTCTAATTGACTAGAGAGGAAAAACATATACTACTCTAAAAAGCTGTTTTTCGGATCAAAAGGATATATTGATCTTAAATTTTGTCTAGATCAAATTATTTATCTTTAACTTCATAAAGGAAATACATAGGATGATAATAAGCACCACCCGGTTCCATTTGTTCATATAATCAATGAATTCCACTTGCTGAACAAAACTGTGATATGTTGAGGTGTTTATTGGGCTGACTCCAAACCCTTTTAACACCACCTCGGGCTCATGTCTTAAATCATTGGGTTCTGCCCTTGCTGCAACCTTGATTTTAAGCCTTGTCATGGTTTTGGCCTTGCTATTTAGGTAGTGAGAACATCGTTGGTCATACATCACACACACATGATCTGATGCAATTCTGAAAAATGACCTTGTCATGTACATACTAACGCTGTCCTTTTTACCGTCACTCTCAGCATCACTTATAGTAATGTCAAATTCCAATTTCTCACCATATTCCGAGTCTTCAGAAACAATGAAACAGAAGATGAAACCCAACTGAGGCAGAAGTTGAGCAGAAGAGAGATCAATTAATATATAATCCTTTGTTGTCTTATATTCCAACCACTCTGGAACCCTGCTTCCTGGATACACGTACTTTGCTTGATAAGAATCATACTTATCTTTGTAATCATCATAATTTTCTGCATAATCAAGTTCTGGTGAGGGTAAATGTTGATATGCAAATTTCATCACATTGATTTGCACATTCAACCCAATAGCCAGGAGAGAATGTTTATCCAAGTACAAGCAATTCCAGAACTCTATCTTTCTTCTGTTTTCTTTCAATTGATCAACTGCTGTTGAAGGGAACAATACTGTCTTCAGTGATCTGCACCTTTCAGCAAGCAGAGTTTCAAGGGATGGGGGAAGCTCTGGTAGAGTCTGAAGCATTGAGCAATACCTTAGGTCTAGATATCGCAGTCTAGTAAAATTTTTTATACATGAAGGCAAGCTCTCAATCTCACTAGCTCCTAAAACTAGGACTTCTAGCTTGCTTTGACGTTCAAAAGATGAAGGCAATGCATTGATGTGAATGCCAACAAAACGTAGTTCTATCATATTCTCTGATGTTACTGAGAATTCTTGTAGTTTTTCACAGTATTCAAGATTAAGATAACGGAGGGAGGTTAAATGGGTATCACTTGTAAGTTTGGTAAGGGAAAAACAAAGACTTAAGTCCAATTTCTGAAGCTTGTTGAGAGAGAAAATAGAGGGATTCACACTAGTCAACTCACCACAACAACTGAGATCCAGTATTTCAAGATTAGCGGCCTCTGTAAAGTTTGGTAGCTCCTTCAGGAATTTGCAATTATTGAGTTTAACTTCTTTTAAGTTCACCAGATTCTATACAAAATAAAACAAATGAAGTCATCACACACAAACACAAAAAGATTATGATGTATATTCCTTGAATTAAGAGAAAATTATAACAGAAAAACGTGTATACATATATAATATATTTAATTTACCTGCACTCCATCCCAAAGCTTTTCCACTTGGCTATATGACATATCCAATACAACGAGATTTTTTGCAGAAAATTTATCTGGCAGGGATTTCAGAGGGTAATGCATCCAATGAAGATATCTTATATCACTTGACAAATATTGAAACCCTTGAGGAAGAAGATCCAAGCAGTCTTGATCATATTCGCTGCTGTGCAAATCCAAAAATTGCAGTTGGCTCATCTTAGCAAATATGTGAGGGCTTAATGTCAGCTTTTTAATTGTTGACAAGTGTGTCTTTATGCTTCTAATGGCCCTTGTTCCCTACCACAAAAGTAGAAGAACAATTTAAACAATAAAAGTGGCATTTTCCATGAACCAAAAGTCAAATATTATCTAAATGGTGTCATATTATATAGTTACCTTGTCATTTTTCAGAACTTCATAAATGTCATCAGGATCCCATAATCGGCTACAGCTTCCAAGATCTTCACTAGACTCTTGACGAACAATCTCCCAACCCATTTCTTGGACAATATCATGCATGGATACAATATTATCCTTAGAAATAGTTATAAGAGCTTTATCTTTCAGTCTTTCTAACCCAATAACTACTGAATTATCACTTTCATAATCTTTTAACAAAATGTGCAGGTAGTCCTCTCTTACATTCAATCCACTGAAGAAACATGCAAGATCTAAGAAAATCTTTTGCTCTTTGCGATCTAGATCATCATAACTTAGTTTCATTATATCATGAACTTTTTTACTTGGCATCTTTTTAAGTTTGTCTAGCTGACTTTCCCATACTTCCTTATCCTTTCCACGAAGAAGATTGCCTAAAACTTTAAGAACTAAGGGAATGCCTTTGGCGTAATTGATAACTCTCTTTGAGAGCTCATAATACTCCATTTCAAGATGATTTTGGCTAAAGGCATTTAAATTGAAAAGTTCAAGTGCTTCACTAGAACTCAAGATGCCAACCTCGTATATATCATCAACTTTGTTGAGCACTTGCTTATCTCTAGTTGTTATTATTATTCTACTCCCTGATCCAAACCAATCAAGACTTCCAAATAATTTTTCTATTTGATCAGAATCGTTCACGTCATCAAGAACAATAAGAACCTTCATGCGACTTATCCTTCTCTTGATATAGTTGAACGACTCAATTTTCACTTCTTCTGCTAACAGTGTAGAGAAAAGTTTTTTTTGTAAATAAATTAAGCTATACCTTTCTGATTCTTCCCTTACCTTTGCTAAAAAACAACATCCTTCAAATTCAAAACACATTTTGTTAAACAATTCTTCTGCAATAGTTGTCTTGCCGATACCGCCCATACCCCAAATTCCAATAACACGAACATCTTTCGAATCTTGACATAACAAAGATTCTAAATGTGCAATTGGTTTGCCAGTTCCAATAAGACCCTTTGAGTTATATGGTTGGTTACTCAACCTTTTCAACACATGATTGATAATATCTTCGAGCAGCTCAGCATCATTCCTACATAACAAAAATAAAGGACCCTTGTTTGATGTATATGTAAGTCTTTTAAAAAATGTATTACTTATACACACACATATATTATAATATATTTAATTGTATTATTTGAGTCTAATTTAACAACTAAATTCGATGGGCCAACAAAGCATGACTTTTCTAATGTAAATCCTAACACAAACTAGTGGCACTGACTAATATATGTGAAAGTAACGAAAAACAAGCATACATTTTGGTAGAAACAATCTAGAAAATAAGCTGATTTGAATTCAAATATTTTATAAATCTAACTAACTTCAAATCAACAGTCAATAGGTTTTCATTTTCTCACTTCACACATTTTCTCACTTTAGATAAGCCAAATCAATTTCTTTTAATTATTTAAGCGAACGAAAGATTGTGATAATATGCGCATATCCATCTAACAAATAAACAGGTGGAAAATCTAAACATTTTTGTGAAGAAAAAAATAGCTTACCGAAAAGTTGTTGAATTAATTCCTGATAAATTAGCAGAATTGGTTAGAGCATGTCTCCACATTTGCACCTTGGACAAACCGTACTTTTTTTCATGTTCAGCCAGTGCATTTTCATAACTCCCCTTTTGATGCCGAACATTTGTGGGATCTATATTGTAGAACACTGGTATAATAATCTGTCCATACTTTTCCCTGCACTCAACTATTTTCACAAGTTCTTCCAAACACCAGCGTGAAGAAGCATAGTCTTCAGAGAATATGATCAATGAAATGAATGATCCTTCAATTGCTTCCAGAAGTGATAGTGATATTTCATCTCCTCTCTCAAGTTTATCATCAACAAAGGCATATATTTGCTTCCGAGGGAAAGCCTCAATCAAATGGCTAAGAAAATTGTCGCGGATGTCCTTTCCTCTAAAGCTAACAAAAACATCGTACTTTATCCTAGGAGCATTGTTTGATGTTTCCTTTACTGCTACACCCTTCAGTTTGTTAAAAAGATATTAAATTTTGCATAAAAACTAAGCTGTAGTCACAGTAAGATAATTGAAATATAGCAACATGTAAAAAATATTCCTAAATTATGAAAATTTGTTATTATTGTTAATTCACATTTTTAATATTTAAAAATATTACTAATTTAGATATCCAACTCAAATTATATTCTATCCAAAAACATATAAGTAGGATCAACCAAAATCATACCTTTAAAAATAAATAAATAAACATTATCTGTGTCAATTAAGAAATTTAAGTCAATAAAAAATTATTTTGACAACCTTCTATTAAGATCATGGAATACCTAAAAGATAAAACAATTCTAAAAAGTAAATTTTTATTTCTTCAAGAAAAGAAAACATAAAAGGTATGAAGCAGGAGCATGATATAAAAGCGGGGACATGATAGCAATTACAGAGAAGAACAATTGTGTAATTTGAGGGTATTACCTACAGGTTCAAAGAAAATAAAATAATCCTAAATTAAGAGTGATAGGCTGATAGCTACTATTTGTGGCTCGTAGTTGGGCTAATTTATGTTGATAAAAGTGTCACCTGCACAAAACTTTCCTGTTTAACTAATACGTATATAGTCTCAAAGTTGATATGTTTAGAAAGTACTATGTTCCTTTGATGATATGGTGGTACTTGTGTTCTTACAGACGAGAACAGTTTCTAAGATCAACATTTATAGTTTTTAAAGCACTAATAAGTAACTAATTATTCTGTAACGTAGAAAGCTAAATGTCACACTCCAAACTTATCTGCATTATTTGCTATAGTAAAATATACAAATTTTTAGAATAGTGTAAAAATATATTTGAAACAATTTAGGAAAAATTATTCCTATTTTCTAGTTAAAAGATAATTTTAGAGATAGTACTGAAATTGTAAATATTATAATTTAACCACTCAAATATAAGTAAATATTATAATTTAACCACTCAAATATAATAGTAGAGAATGTCTATAAATAGACATGCTATCACATTATAAAAATTAAGAAGTAAGTAAATAATCAATTCTCTATCTCTTGAATGCTTTATTCAAATTTATTTAACTATTATTTTAATTATTCTAACTAAAATATTTCAATAATCTTCTCGTTACTGATGACAAAAACCATCATCTGCCAATTTATAGAATCCAATTTAGAAGATTAATGTTCACGTGTGCACGTACAAGAGATTAGTTCTTTTAGTGAGGTCATCTTTGTGGGTTCCCACTCTCTCAGTACAGAAATAAGTAACTATTCCAAAATACTTTAAAAAGAAATGAAAAAAGAAAAAAGTGTTCAATGTTAATAGTAACAGTTATTATGATAAACAAGAACTGACAAGTGCTTATGTTAACAAAGTGCAAATAAGAAGAATGAGGAGGTATGAAGCAGTTGCATGATCAAAAGCATGGACATGATATTTATCACAGCAAAGAACCATTGTATGATTTGCTAATAGGGGACTACCTCTAGATTCATAGAAAATAAATAATCCTAAACTAAGAGCAATGGCTATTAGGTGTGGTTCATATATTGGTAAATTTTTGCTGGGACAAATGTGCCCTGCACAAAACTTCCTGATTTATTTAGCCATGAATCTTGGGTGCCTTTTTAAAGAGATTTTAAGAATGACCAGTCCAGGTTCTCCCAAGTCAACTTCACACATAATAAAATGTAAGGGTCTTGCTAAGAACACTAGTTAAGAAATTAGTATATATTTTTTTAATTAAAAATCACAATGAACTGCATTAGAAATCAAAGGAAAAGATGCATTACTAATATTTTCTGACAAATATATTCTACTTTTGATTCTTTAATGTAATAACTTCTCTTCAAAATTATACATATACCCAACACAGACAAAAAACATAACAACGAAGTGACAAGATTAATAATAGGAAAAAAAAAGTTAAACCCATAAATTCTTCCATGCATAGCACATTGATATCATTCATGTAACTACTGCATGTTAAATTCTCCATCCGTCCATTAAAGCATCATAATGGAAAAACATCACAACAAAATCACTTTAAGGGAACTGCCATCAGCAATATGAGTCAGCATATGTTATTTGTACATCAAAGTCAAAATGTATAAGTGGAAAAAAAATCACCTTGGCAAAAATTTTATTGACAAGTTTTTTCTTCTTGACCAGTACTCCAAACAAGTTCAACGGCTGCACTGAAATTCTCTGAAGCAAAAAGTATCAGTGTCACTAATAACTAACTTATAATCAATAGTTGTTAGTTAGTTAAGTTAGTTATTCCAATTATTTCTTTAAACTGTAATCCCAATACTTGTATATCTACATTTCTCTGTACATTGCTTTTATCATCAATAAAATCAAACTTTCCCAATATGTCTCTCTCCGATCTAGGTTCGTTGTGTAATAGGGTATCACTGTATCAGAGCTCCAAGATTGTGCCAATATCTCTTTTATTCTATATTGAGTACAGAATTAGATAAATGGCCAAAACGTTTGTGCCACAAATATACATTATTGTTAGATGAATGACTAAAATTCAACTCACATTTCACTATGAACGCTAAATGAATGACTAAAATTCAGCACATATTTCACATACCTTATTTATACCAGAGCTCCGTAAGGACTGCATTTCCCAGTTTGATGTTGTAACAATTCCTTTACGCGCCACATCTCCAGAAGGCCAACATCGTCTCTAGGGAAAACGGATACAGGAATAGAATTAGGTAATTCGTAAGTCATATGAAAGGATTTTCCCCCCTCAATATACAAACCTTGTCTGCATTGGATTTGTATCTGGCATTGTGTATAGTACCAGTTAATGCCCAAAAGTAGTTTCAAGTAATCAAAGTTAAATATCAAATTAACTGTTTTATAGAATATTGTGCAAAAATATAAATCAATTAAAATTCAACACATAAATAAGGTAAAGGATATCAAATTATGAAATAAAACTAGGAACTATTTGTTCCTACAACAATTGAAAGCAATCAAATTTATGTGGGAGGGGACTTGGGATTTGTTAAGTCCATTTCTTGACCTTGAATTCCAAATCCAAGCCAACATAGAGGCCAATATTTACATATAATTCTTTAGTTTTATACAACAATTTCTGCATAAAAACTTGTGTGACAGTGACAAGAGGATCTCAGTAGAAAAAAGAGATAAAAAAAAACATGCTATTTTCCTTTTGGTCTTTATCCCTGATTTAGCACCTTATAAAATATTTTCAAAAGTATTCAAGAGTTGTGACAAGCTTTGAGCCATAAATATTACATAGTACCTTACTTCATGGAAGCATTTCCTAAGATGTTGTTTAGGAGTTGATTTTTGGGGAGAAGGGAAGAGAAGGGGAAGGATTATGTGATGTTTATCCATTTCTGGGGAGTTTTGTATTAAACATCCTTCATTCTCCCTTCTCTATTCCTCCTTTACCTTTCAAACTATTTCCTTCCTTCTCCCTCCAAACTTCCAAATAAAGCTTAAGAGTTATTACTTAAATTTACAAAATATAAGCATGAACAGTTAGTTTTAAATATTTCAGAAATAAATTGTAACAGGATTTGGAAAAAGGCAAAGAGACGAAGAAATACAGAATATTTTATTTGGAAAGCTCCGGAAGAAGAATATGCCATTGGATTGGAACAAGAGCACTCTGGATCTTTCTTTGTTTCTACAACCTTCAAATATCACAATAATGGTGTCACAAGGTAAGTGAAAAAAAAAAAATAGAAAAAAAAAAGGTTACAATTGTTTCTAGCAGTTAGCCAACAGTTGAGAAAGTAGAATATAATATAAGCAAGCAATTTCTCTACTTGATCTTATGCCATTCATATTTCTTCTTTGTTTTCCACCTTATGATCTTTGGTCAAACATGAATGATTGGTGGAGATCATTGTAAAGCAGTTACTAACCTTCAATGATTTGGCTGAGGATCACATTCAACTCTTGGACTGCAAATAGAAGGAAGAAGCAATTTCATTGGACTTCACTGTCTACAGACCTCTCACATTCACACTGCCACAAGGCATTGATTGGTCCATGAATTTACATTTTTTTTCTAATTCGTGCTCAGAACATATAACACATAGTAAGTTTTCATTGAAAATTATAATATTTAATATTTATTTTATTATGTGTCTTGAGGCTACTTGAAAAAAACAATAGATTTATATATTAAAAAAATATTAAAATAACCGCTGTATAAATATAAAATAATTAAACCAGTGCCTAACCAGGGGAAACGCTTACGGCCAAACACTACAGACTGGCATCCTCTATTTAAAATTTTAAACAATTAAGAGTTGGCAAATTGGCAACAAGCGGACTCTAAAAGAAGGATTTGATTGGGTATTAGAGAACACTAATTCAGAATAAATTACAATTTCTTCTCGTTTAGCAACTTCTCAGTACATGCATAGCCTTTAATTTTTCTGTTCCTTTGCTAGATTTTAATCTATCTCTTAATTTTTTTTCTTTTTAATTTTTTGTATTAAACCAGGTATCCTATCACCATACTTTCAAGATTAACTCTCGTAACAAAATCAAACAAAAGTAATATATCTCTGTGTATATATAAAATGTTAATCCTTAATCTTAAACGAAATTACTTTTAAGAATATCTTAAATGAGAGAATTTAAAAAATGTACTCTCTTCCTCATTGTGCCATGTAGTTTTTCTTGAATTCAACGTTTATTTTTCTTCATTTTCATTTTTATATAAATTATTTCTTAATTTTAAAAATATATTTCTTTAATTTAGTCCTGTTTAGTATAACAATATATAAAATATTTGTTATAATTAATACTATAAGTATGTTTCTTTTAAAATTTATAAAATTAAACAAAATTTAAAAATAATATATTTCTTTTATGCTTCTTGATTAGTACATTGCAATTGGAACTTTTAATCATTCTAAAACAACCCCATCAATTATCAAGTATTTGTCATTAGCATACTCATTAACCTTTTGACTCATTCCAATATTTGATATGGATTGAACGTCAAATTTAGAAAGGTAAATTAACTTTATAAATGTATTATTAAAAAATAATAATTAATATTATATTTAAACTATGAAAAATGCTATCTACTCCCTTGAGGACATTTATTAAGGAAGGAATAAAAAATAGAAATGTTCTGTTAGAAAATGTAAAAATGCACTTATTTTCATGTATTTTAATGCGTTCTATTATGATTTTTAATAAAGGTGTACTATTTACTGATTTATTAATCAGGGAGATTAGCAACACCCTTAATTAATAAATAGAAATACTTTTTTATAAATCAAACAAATGGTATTCTCAGTCTCAGTTTGTATATATAGAAAAATATTTGCAAAGTTTAACAACAACAACAACCTATATTTTTATTTATTTATTTTTCATTAGTTTAACTTAATAATGTTGTAGCATGATTAAATAATGTCTAAATATGCAATAATAAAGGTATATTAATTACTTGATTGTTTAAATATACAAATTATAATAAATTAAAATTATAACACAATTACTTTCAGAAAATGTATAACAATTGATTTTTGGAGAAATAGAGAATGATTAGAGAGAGCGGGTGATACATATATATTGCATGGGACCAAGCTTGCCAAAAATCTTGTTCTATATAACAATAGTAGCTTGTTGGTGATTCAAATATTTTTGAATAACTTCATCATCTGAAATGGATCCTTCCAGACTTTTCATTTTGAATAATAATATTAACAATAATAATTAGGGTAAGTTGCATTTAATTAAATTTGTAGAGCGAGTCTTACATTTAAATTTGAAAATTTTAACGAATATTGTTAATATAAAAACAAGTTCTATATAACTGTATGCTTTTATCAAATAATATATAATTAACATTAAAGCTTAATTGGGTATTTTGTTCCAATATTAGTTTGGCTTACGTTAGATTTTGGTTTCCTTATTTTTTTCGAGTTAATTAAGTTTGATCTACTTTTAAAATTGTGCAAATTTAATTCCTTGTTGATTTTATTAATTTTTGTCTAAATTTTGAGGAGTTTATGGTAAATTTATTATATAATGTCAATTTTAGTGATATTTTGACTTGAAAAAACTTTTAAAATGTGAGAATTTTGACTTGAAACTACTCAGCTAAGTCATCTACTAGTAGCTGAAATGATCTGGTGGAGGGCTGTTCCAACCTCTATAGCCTTGAGTAGTAGCTGCACGGTTTGTGTTTCAAGTCCACTTTCCAGCTTTGAGCCATCAGCTGTTGATGCTTCGAATAGTGTCTTTACACCAATGTGTATCAGCTACCATGGTGGTTTGCAAAATCTCAACAACATCCATAGAGTGTTTGACAAATAAGTTCCCAGAATGCGTGGGTTGAGGGTATTTAAGAGATTTCTCGCATGAGAAATTCATTTGTTTTCTGAACTCACATCCTTCCTTTAAGTTTTCTCTAAATTCTATCCTTTTTTTACTCAGATAAAAGCCTCAGAAACTTTATTTTTTTTTTTCATAATCAAGCTTGGACTTTGATTCTGAATGATTTCACGTAAGTTTTCTCGGGTTAAATTTGATTTTCTCTTATCATTTTCCCTCTTTTTGTTCTTATGGACATCTCTTGATATTCAGGAGAACTTTTATTCGTGAACGTTGATCCTTTTCAGCATCTCTCCCTAAACTCATCTTCAAGGTAATGAGAGCTCTATTTTATATTTCTATTATAGTATTTATGTTGTGCTCATAAAGCACTATTATGTGGATATTGTATAAGAATATGTGATTGAGATAGCTATTTTGTGAATATTGAAGGAAAAAGATGTTTGTTTGGTTGTTAGGATTGATTGATTGTTTGGGTCAAACGACTGATATATGCGTTGTGATGTTATGAAATATATTGGAGTAAAATAATATGCTAAAATGATATTGGTATGAAAGATTTACTGTAGAAATTGTATAAATGGATATATGCGTGAAATGGATTGGAATGGACCTAGTATGGAAGTGCTTTACTAAGCACGATCTTATAAGTGAGAAAGAGAATGATGCTGCGAATGACTCTAAGAGTCAGATAATGGATTGAATCTAGTGTGAATAGTTACAAAGATACACTAGGGTATAGAGTTTGGAGACGATGAGAATCTTGAAAAAACATAGGGTGGTAAGCGATATTCACCTATGTGTACACACTCTTTATGAGAACAAATACGTCATAGTCCTGACACTTGTTTCTTGACTAGACTCTTGACTATGTCTTTGCTAAGGGGCTCGTTTATTGTACATGTTGTATCCTTGTGCATGGGTTAGCTGGCGAATATTTACCTAATTGAGTAAGACCTCAAGAAGTGCTGGAGGCATCGATATCTAAGATCACAGTGCACTGGGAGTGCGCGTTGGAATAAGATAGATGAAAGTGGATAATAAATTATTGAATGTTATGTATGATGTGAATGTATTGTGTTATGGATATGTGATGTGAATGTATTGTATTCATACTATAGAGTATAATCGTATGATAAATGTTTGTAAATGATAGAATAGATGCTCATCCTTATTGATATTTTCAGGAAACCAGGATGATGGAGCCTTAGGGAAGAGTTAGACTTGTAGATAGTTTAGTAGGCTTTAGGTTAAATTATGTATTTAACGAATACCAAAGAGTATGTTATTTTAAATTTGCTGTGCTTGTAGAAGATGAAACTAAGCTTTTTGTTATGATAGAGATGGATTACTCTTATAGTATTCCTTTTGACTTTCCTAGGAGAAGAATACACCAGACTTTGTGTATATACCTGTATAGAAGTACTGTTAGAACCACAACAGTCGTCACTTACCTTTTCACTTATCATGATCACGACCATCTCGGAAGATCGACCCTATGGAACTTTGAGTAAGTGACTGGCACTGAGATTAGAGCTGATTTGGGTGATGACTATCTGGGTTCAGATAATGATTTAAACTCAGAGGATCTGGTTGAGATAGAGAGTTGGCACAGAGTTGATGAATAGGACCAGTCTTCAGTACTGGATTTTGAGTTGAGGCTGCTTTGGGACTTATCGTAGTTTTGGTGATGTAAATATTATTTTTTTAAGTTTCGTATATTCTGACAAACAGTTTGTTAATTATTGTATTTTATCTATGGAATGTATATACAGTCTTTTAATTGATAGATCTTAATTATATTTAATACAACATTTAGAATTTTGTTGTACTAGTTATATTCATATGAATGAGAATATTTGTATAAGTACTACAAAACAAAGAAATTTTCAATACTTAGTTACAATCATGCCTATTATATTCGAATTTTCTATTTTACATCAAGTAATGAAGTATGGAATATACATTGTATAGATTTTAAGATAAAGATGTTACAATTTGGTATCGAAGCAGTTCATCCAAACCAGTCTGGGGTATGGGACTAGTTCATCGAGATTAGATGTTTTGTGTTATTGATTAGAAATTGTTTGCTGTTGCGACCTAGTGGTTGTGAATTGTTTGATTTGGATGAGATGTTTGAAATGTTTGTATGATTTGAAATTGATTTTAAATGTTTGGAATGAAAGCTGATGTGTAAATTTTGATTCTTATAGAATTAGAACTATGGCTGGTAGAGGTAGACCTGCTGGTGCTACTAATGAGATTTTGGCCCGCGTGACACAAGTATTAGAAAACTTGGTGCAAAACCAAGGTGCGGAGCCAGCAGAGTATCGTGGACTCTCTTCGTTCATGAAACATGACCTCCGAAGTTCAAAGGAAAATTTGATCCAGAAGGTGCGCAGAGGTGGAGAGCGGACATAGAGAAGATTTTTAATGCGATGGGATGTCACCAGGAGCACAAGGTGGTTTATGCCACCTATATCTAAGGCAGAGAAGCAGAGGATTAGTGGAGGTTCGCCAATCCAACTTTGCCCCAAGAAGAAGGATACATCCATTGGGAAGCTTTCAAAGCGTGTTTCCTAGGAAACTACTTTCCTAGAGATTGGAAGAAACAAAAGGCCTGGGAATTCCTTGAGCTAAAGTAAAGAAATATGTCTGTGGGAGAATATGCTGCTAGATTTCATGAGCTTATGAAGTACTGGCCTCATTTCCAGCATGAGAATGAAGATGAAGACTTATGTGCCCAATTTGAGAATGGGCTGAGGCCTAAGATACAGGTTGCGGTCAGTGTTTTCTAGCTGACTAATCTGCCAACTTTGATCAGTAAATGTCGAATCCTTGAGGCAAATTCAAAAGGCAAGAGGGTGGATAGCTGGATTGGAGGACCGGTGAGACAAGATCGCAGACCTCCAAGGTTCCCTAAAGGACCTTACTCTGGTGCTAGTTAGTCTCAGTCCCGGGAGACTGCATCGCAAGGAGGTAGTAGTGGCGGTTCCAACTTTTCAAGGGGACCAATGAGATGTTTTCGATGCGAAGGACCTCACATTGTGAGGAATTGCCCACAACCATCATCAGTGTGTAGTATTTGAGGGAAGATGGGTCATTCTGCAAATACTTGCTGGTCTGCTCCTCAGAGAAGTGGAAGTGTGAGTGGGAGCAATAGGCCTGCATCCAGAGAAGTAGTGGGACAAAGCCGAATGTACAAGGCAAGGTGTTTGCCATGAGTGGGTCAAAGGCATCCAAGTCAGACGATCTTATTAGAGGTAAATGCATCATTAATGATAGACTCTGTGATGTCTTGTTTGATTTCGGTGCCACACATTCTTTTGTTTCTATGAATTGTGTGAATTGTCTTGGACTGCCAGTATCTTCTCTGGCATGTGATGTTCTTGTGTCTACTCCTACAGCTAAGCCTGTTGTAACCTCTTCTGTGTGCTTAGGCTGTTCTGTGATAATTCATGGTAGAAATTTATGTGTGGACTTAATCTATCTATCACTTTCTCAACTTAATGTTGTGTTGGGCATGGATTGGTTGTCATTCAATCTATTTTGTTAGATTGTCAGGAGAAAGCTTTAATCTTTGGTGATAATACACCGAAAGGTTCTAGACTCCTAAATGTGGGTGAAGCTAAGACTTTCATGCTGTTGTTTTCTACTGAGATTGATAAGGCCGTGAGAGTTGAGCATATTCCAGTGGTACAAGATTTTTTGGAAGTTTGTCCAGAGGATGTAATAGAACTGCCACCAAAAAGAGATATTGAATTCGCTATCAATTTGATTCTGGGAGCAAGCCCAGTATCTATCGCGCCATATCGAATGTCACTGATGGAGTTGGCAGAGGTGAAAAAGCAAATGGAAGATTTGTTGAAAAGGTAATTTGTAAGGCCAAGCGTGTCTCCATGGGGAGCTCTAGTGCTTTTGGTGAAAAAGAAGGATCGAAGCATGAGAATGTGCGTGGATTATCGTCAGCTGAATAAAGTAACGATCAAGAATAAGTATCCTATTCCTCGGATTGATGATCTGATGGATCAGCTACGGGGAGCTTCCATGTTTTCAAAGATCGATTTGTGATCAGGTTATCATCAAATCCGAGTGAAGAAGGAAGATATCTCCAAAATTGCTTTTAGGACCCGGTACGGTCATTACAAATATCTGGTGATCCCATTTGGAGTAACAAATGCCTCGGCGGTGTTCATGGACTATATGAACCGAATTTTTCATGAATTCTTAGATCGATTTGTTGTCATGTTTATTGACGATATTCTGATTTATTCCAAGAATCACGAGGAGCACGCTAAACACCTAAGAATCATTTTGCGAATACTGAACAAAAGGTAGCTTTATTAAAAGTTGGCAAAGTACGAATTCTGGCTTCCACAGATCCAATTTTTGGGACATGTTGTCTCAAAGGAAGGAATCATGGTCGACCCAGCAAAAGTAGAAGCAGTGGCTCAATGGTCGAGGCCTACAACTCCGATAGAGATAAGAAGTTTCCTTGGATTGGCTGGCTATTATAGAAAATTCATTGAGAAATTTTTTAAAATAGCGTTACCTCTAACGAAACTAACGAGGAAAGGAAGGGATTTCAAGTGGAATGAAGAATGCGAAGTTAGCTTCCAAAATTTGAAGGAAAGGTTAACTTCTACTCCAGTATTGATTTTGCCAGATCTGGAGCAAAAGTTCAAAGTGTACTATGATGCTTCAGGACAAGAACTTGGGTGTGTCCTAATGCAATCTGGGAGAATAGTCGCGTTTACTTTAAGACAACTTCGACCTCATGAAGTCAATTACCCTACCAATGATTTGGAATTAGAAGCAGTGGTATTCGCATTGAAAATTTAGAGACATTACCTATTTGGATCGAGATTTGAATTATTTAGCGATCACAAGAGTCTGAAATATCTGTTTGACTAGAAAGAGCTGAATATGAGGTAAAGAAGGTGGATAGAGTTTCTCAAAGATTATGACTTCACCCTGTCTTACCACCCAGGAAGGCAAATGTTGTAGCAGACACACTAAGCAGGAAATCCCTACACATTTCTGCCATGATGATAAAGGAATGAGATTTGATTGAAGAATTTAGAGATTTGAATTTGATGGTAGAAGTGAGACCCAAAAGTTTGTATTTAGGCACTTTGAAGATCAATAACGATTTCCTGATGCAAATCCAGAATGCTTAAATGAAAGATCAGTATCTGCAAGATAGGGTGCAACCAAATGATGATAGCAAAAGCTTAGACTTTTATCGTGATTCAAATGAACTTATCAGATTTAAGGGCAGAGTATGCATTCTCCAAAATGAAGAATTGAAACAGATGATATTGGAAGAGGTGCATAAGAGTAAGTTGAGCTTCCATCCTGGAGCATTGAAGATGTATCACGATTTGCAAAGAAATTTCTGGTGGTACGGCATGAAGAAAGAAATTGTTGAGTATGTTGCAAAGTGTTTAACGTGCCAAAAATCGAAAGCAGAACATCAGAGGGTACCAGGAGAATTACAACCGTTGGAGATTCCAGAATGGAAATAAGAAAGTATCTCTATGGACTTCGTATCTAGATTACCAAAAATAAAGAGAAATCATGATGCTATGTGGGTGATTGTAGACCGTCTAACCAAGACTGCACATTTTATTCCAATTAATATGAAGTATAAATTGGAGAAGTTGGCGGAGCTGTACATTACTGAGATAATCAAACTGCATGGAGTACCCTTGAGCATCGTATCAGATCGAGATCTAAGATTCACATCAAAATTTTGGAAAAGTCTGCAAGTGGCTTTGGGGACTAAGTTAAAGCTTAGCTCCTCATATCATCATCAAACAGACGGGCAGACGGAGTGTACTATCCAAACATTGGAAGACTTAGTACAAGCTTGCGTGATGGAGCAACAAGGAGCGTGGGATGAATGTCTACCTTTAGTAGAATTCACATATAATAATAATTATCAAGCAAGCATTGGCATGGCACCGTATGAAGTATTGTATGGGAGGAGATGTCAAATGCTGGTATGAAGCTGGAGAGACAATTTTGTATGCTCCTGATGTGGTACAAAGACAGAACAACCAAGTGAAGATGATCAGAGAGAAAATAAAGGTTGCCCAAGATAGACAGAAGAGTTACCATGATCAGGAAAGAAAGCCATTGAAATTCTAAGTCGGTGATCATGTATTTTTGAGAGTCTCACCCATTACTAGACTTGGTAGGGCGTTGAAATCCCGAAAGATATCTCCTAAATTCATCGGATCATTCGAAGTTTTGAGTAGAGTTGGTCCTGTAGCTTATCATATTGCCTTACCTCCAAATATGTCCAATCTGCATCTTGTATTTCATATGTTTTAATTGAGGATATACATTTTGGATCCCTCTCATGTAATTGAGCTTGACCCTGTCTGAGTTCAAGAAAATTTGTCATATGAGGTTATCCTTGTGAAGATTGTTGATCGACGAGTCAAGCAGCTAAGGGGTAAAGATATCTCATTGG